TCCTCGACTTTTCATCGACCAACTTTATTTAATTGCACATAATACTTTAAATAGAGTCTGAACAACTAATAAATGTTCGGGACTTGCCGGAAATAAATTAAACTTCCCTCGGCATAAACTTTTTAGGGCTAACCGAGTTTAATCATGAATATCTTAACGAATTTCTGAAAATCCTCCGAGCAATAACCTTTAAAATAACCTTATTAACAGGATTATAAACAGAAGAGGGATCTACCTCACTGATTGTCCGACTGAAACTGGAAAATATAGGGCGTTCTCCTTTACTTGCGATTGCCGTGGGTATTGCCTAGCTTCTTGCCGTGCGATTGCTATGAAACTTAGGGAAAATTTACTGACTACTGTATGCTGCTGAAAGGGGACGATATAAGCTGAATGTAGGCTGGTAACTTCTAAGGGAAAAGTGGCGAAAATTTCCCAAGTGAGGTGCTTAAATAGAGGTTCGGTCATGAGGGGGTGATGATGTGTTGGTGGCGTGGCCACCTTAGGCTTCCAACACTTGCTTGGATTACATGAGTTAAAGAGATGACCAAGCATCTTAATTAGGTGACAAATGACCAAATTTAATTGGTTGAAACCTTTCCTTAAGCTTAAGAAAAGCTCACGGCATTTGATCATAATTTTGGGAGAATTTGCCCTAACTTTCTCGGCTTTGGGACTTTAATTGTGATGAATTACTAATTAATCACTAACTTTATGTTTAATTGTTAAATTAAACATAATACTTAATTACCAAAATTATTTCGGACGTAAACGGTACGTCGAAAATAGATTTCGGTAATTCCGACTGAACTTAATTAATTCCGAAAATAATAAACAACATCGTTACTATATCGGAATTAAACGTAATTTATACCGATAAAATATCGGGATATTACACCACGGGCCCTATCACTAATAAGTTGGGCCAGCCCAGCTCGAGTGGTCTCCCGCCCATTAGTGCCGTCCGTTTGGAGCAGATGAGCAAAGCCGTTAGGTGTCTGGTGATCGAATTGCAGCAAGGGTCGGGAGCTGGAGACGGCTCAGGACATCCCAGCTCGAATTCCCCTTTTGATGCTCGGTTTACTGAGGATGCTGCTCAATAGGTATGTTTTGTGTTCCCACTTTAATATTTAGTTTAGGAAAATATACAAATGTTGGTCCTTTGGGGTTTGGCTTGATTAACCAATAAAATAAAAATAGGAAAACAAGAAAGCTGAGAATGAAAGAAAGAAAAAATGCGCGTCACTCTGTAAATTTACAAAAAATTGAAATTCAGGTGGATTCTGAAAAAAAATATAACATCCAAAACATGCAAAACATGACCGCAATTAAGAGTCCTAGAAGCTTAAGCTCGGATAGAAAATACTCAACCTGGACATTTCCATGAGGATCTCTCTCGAGCATCTATTATTCTTGGATTACAGTGGGCAGAAAATCAAAAAGCTCCACATATTGAGTGCTAAGTCTTTTTCCAGTGTCCAGCCTCATCCACAACTTCATGAGCCAAATCTCATTTAGTTCTGCAATGAACCTGCAAATGCAATGAGTAATATAATAAGAAATAACCGAGCCCCGGTTGTTGACGAGCGGCGGTGGTTGGGCTGATGAAGGTGCGTTTGTGGACGACGACAACAGTAGCTCCGGTGGAGTTCTTATCAGGTGTGTACGATTTTATTTTTCTTATTTTTCTGCTGATTGAAATAGATTAAGAAGAAAGGTTTGCCCCTCCAATTTTATCATCTTCCGG